CAGCGGACGTTGTGGCCATGGTTGGTGGACAGTCAGGCCTTCGGGCTGCGGAGTGGCGCCCCAGACTGCTCTATGCGCGGGGCAAGGAGGTAGGAACATTAGCTTAGAGCAACAATTTTTTCGTTTTTGCCAAACAGCCAAATTTCGCATCCTGCTGAACGTTTTTCCGATGTCACCGTTCGATGTCACCGCTCCTTTTTAGGCCAAAACGGCCAACTTCCCGAAATTCCGAAAATCTCGTTTTTCTGTCAGACGGCAAGTGAGGTGCCTCAGCCTCTCGAATTTGCTCGTTTTTCGGCCGAAAACAGGCTCCAGACATACGCTCCTCTTGATTTCCGTTTTCGGCCGAAAAAGCTGCCAAGATCCATCCCGCCAAGCTTGTCGCCGTTCCGCTCCCTTTTGGGCCGAGAAAAGTGCCCAAAAACCCGACTTCCCAAAGACTTCGTTCTTCAATTCCGTTTTTCGCCCAAGCACAAGGTCCTCACCCCTCTGCCCCGACAACCTGCCGAACTTGTTACCGTCTTTGTCACCGGGTCTAACACGCCAACCTGCCGAACGTCCTGAGAAGGGTTCAAAATCTCGGCAATATCAAATCAAAGTTGACTCAACTTACAATATTGGTTCATCACACACAGACTGGCAAGCCCGGTCGTCGGGTTTCGAGCCGGGGTTCGAGCCCCAGACAGGGTGGTGCAGAGACAGTGCTTGTCCACTGAGCGTCACCGCTATGTCACAGGCCCACCACCCTTTCAGCTTGTTTTTTGCAGGGTTTCGGCACGGTTTTTCGGCATGCGTCGACGTTACCGGTATGTCACCGCCGGGGTTCGAGCCCCGGGATGCTGCAAATCGCAAAGACCGGGCTTGACCACTGAACCAATGGATCTTTTGGATTTTTGGGTGGAAAAGCACCCGCCGAGCTTGTCACCGCTTGTCACCGCTGTCACCGGGGCGGAAAAACCGTGACACAAGCTATCCAAGCTCCGACTGGAAAGCAAGGCCGGCTCCGCGGCTTCGGTCCAAAAGCAAGGCCGGCTCCGCGGCTTCGGTCCAAAAGCGAGGCCGGCTCCGCGGCTTCGGTCCAAAGCTCGTTGTGAAACAACAAGGGCGTTATAAATTGCGACAAGGACGTTATAGATTTATCATCAGCGCCTCGCAGGCCATGGTGCGTCACGTCCAGGTCACGCTGCCTCGCGAGTCGGTGCAGCTTCTCGAGAGGCGGGGCCCCACGAGGAACTCCATTACAAGCTCAAAGGCCTCAAAGGGCGCGGAGCCGGGCGGCGCGCAAGCGGCCAGCCGCAGCTGCTCCAGGTTGCGCCGGCGTCATGGGCTGGAAGACCGTTCCACGACTGCTACCTCCACACGGAGAGCTTCACCCAGTTCTGCCCGTGCCCAACAGGCCCTGCAAGATTGCCCTGCCGGAACAAGGCGCCGCAAGGCTGAGGTGGCTGCGCGACACGTGCCTGTCCGGGCTGGACTGGAAGTCCGACGCCGAGGAGGTAAGCTGTCTGCTTCTTGTGGCCACGACTTTTTTAGGAGGTGCACGACCATGAAGGTTGGGAAGGGCCTGTGCCCCGCGCACGGCCGCCACGGCGGAGCGCCTTGGCTCTCGGTCTGCTTGTCCCTCTCCAGCGCGATCGACTTTCAGAGCTTTCAATCTGCGTCGGTCGCCGGAAATGTCAAACATCCGTGCCCTGCGTTCTTGTTCGAGAACGGGTGAATGAATGAATGAATGAATGAATGAATGAATGAATGAATGAATGAATGAATGAATGAATGAATGAATGAATGAATGAATGAATGAATGAATGAATGAATGAATGAATGAATGAATGAATGAATGAATGAATGAATGAATGAATGAATGAATGAATGAATGAATGAATGAATGAATGAATGAATGAATGAATGAATGAAGGAAGGAAGGAAGGAAGGAAGGAAGGAAGGAAGGAAGGAAGGAAGGAAGGAGGAAGGAAGGAAGGAATGAATGAATGAATGAATGAATGAATGAATGAATTTTGGCGCAGCTGGCGTGGGCATCTGAAACACTAGCAGTGATTTTGAACGCGCTGCCAGTGATCTCAGGCTCCTTCTTGCAATGCACAAGCACTGCATCCATCCATCCATCCATTCATTCATTCATTCATTCGTTCGTTCGTTCGTTCGTTCATTCATTCATTCATTCATTCATTCATTGATTGATTGATTGATTGATTGATTGATTGATTGATTCATTGATTCATTGATTCATTGATTCATTCATTCATTCATTCATTCATTCATTCATTCATTCATTCATTCATTCATTCATTCATTCATTCATTCATTCATTCATTCATTTCATTCATTCATTCATTCATTCATTCATTCATTCATTCATTCATTCATTCATTCATTCATTCATTCATTCATTCATTCATTCATTCATTCATTCATTCATTCATTCATTCATTCATTCATTCATTCATTCATTCATTCATTCATTCATTCATTCATTCATTCATTCATTCATTCATTCATTCATTCATTCATTCATTCATTCATTCATTCATGGATTCATGGATTCATGGATTCATGGATTCATGGATTCATAGATGCATGGATGCATGGATTCAATGGATTCATGGATTCATGGATTGATGGGTTCATGGATTCATGGAATCATGGGTTCATGGATTCATCGATTCATCGATTCATCGATTCATGGATTCATGGGTTCATCGGTTCATCGATTCTTTGATTCATCGAGTCATCGATTCATCGATTCATGGGTTCATCGGTTCATCGATTCTTTGATTCATCGAGTCATCGATTCATCGATTCATCAATTCATCGATTCATCGATTCATCGATTCATTGATTCATTGATTCATTGGTTCATTGAAACATTGATTCATTGATTCATTGGTTCATTGATTCATTGATTCATTGATTCATTGATTCATTGATTCATTGATTCATTGATTCATTGATTCATTCATTCATTCATTCATTCATTCATTCATTCATTCATTCATTCATTCATTCATTCATTCATTCATTCATTCATTCATTCATTCATTCATTCATTCATTCATTCATTCATTCATTCATTCATTCATTCATTCATTCATTCATTCATTCATTCATTCATTCATTCATTCATTCATTCATTCATTCATTCATTCATGGATTCATGCATTCATGGATTCATGGATTCATGGATTCATGGATTCATAGATGCATGGATGCATGGATTCAATGGATTCATGGATTCATGGATTGATGGGTTCATGGATTCATGGAATCATGGGTTCATGGATTCATCGATTCATCGATTCATCGATTCATGGATTCATGGGTTCATCGGTTCATCGATTCTTTGATTCATCGAGTCATCGATTCATCGATTCATGGGTTCATCGGTTCATCGATTCTTTGATTCATCGAGTCATCGATTCATCGATTCATCAATTCATCGATTCATCGATTCATCGATTCATTGATTCATTGATTCATTGGTTCATTGAAACATTGATTCATTGATTCATTGGTTCATTGATTCATTGATTCATTGATTCATTGACTCATTGACTCATTGGTTCATTGAAACATTGATTCATTGATTCATTGATTCACAGATTCACTGATTCGTTGATTCATTGATTCATTCATTCATTCATTCATTCATTCATTCATTCATTCATTCATTCATTCATTCATTCATTCATTCATTCATTCATTCATTCATTCATTCATTCATTCATTCATTCATTCATTCATTCATTCATTCATTCATTCATTCATTCATTCATTCATTGATTCCTCGATTCCTCGATTCCTCGATTCATCGATTCATCGATTCATCGATTCATCGATTCATTGATTCATTGATTCATCGATTCATTGATTCATTGATTCATTGATTTCTTGATTCATTGATTCATTGTTTCATTGATTCATTGATTCATTGATTCATTGATTCATTGATTTATTGATTCATTGATTCATTGATTCATTGATTCATTCATTCATTCCTTCCTTCATTCATTCATTCATTGATTCGTTCGTTCATTCGTTCGTTCGTTCGTTCGTTCGTTGCTGCTCACTTTGCTTCTTGTGTAGTCATACTGGTGTGTATTGATGTTTGGCGCACTTGATTGTCAGCGTTATTGACTGACCATAGCTTTCACGATACTCAAGTTCTTGCTCACAAGTGGTTCAAGTACTGAGTATCATTAGTGACTTTCATCCGGGGCACCCTGTTCTGCCTGATGTTGTTTCCGTTTCTTTTACACAGTTGCTCGAACTTGACTTTGCAAGTTGTGCCTTCCTGCCTCCCAAGTAAGTTTCTGCACGGAACTTCGCAAGAGTTGCTGAATTTGCCACCATGAATTCACCCATTTAGGTGCCTGCCGCTTGCAAGAGCCTCATGTATGTGCGGGGCTGACAGGCAAGCTCGAAACTCAACCCCGCTGCCAAGGCTTGTTGAAGCGCGGTTTCTTCACATTTAGTGCCACAGCAACATAGCGGCGACGGTGAACACAAGAGGAAATCAGACTAGCAGAGGAGAGTGCCCAATTCCTATTGACGAAGAAGAAAGGAGTTACGTGAGAAGCAGTAAAACATCACGTGCATCGAGCATCATGGCGCGCAGATGTCGGAGGATGGTTGTTCTTGCCTTCTTGACCCATGTGAGCCTCGAGCTCTGCAGTTTTGTTGGCTCTTGGCGTGCCAAAAGCCACATCGTGATAAAGCCACCAGTGACCGTTGGGGCTGACCCAGCGGCAGCGTTAGGTGCTGCATCTGCTTCAGCAAGCCTTCTTGATTTCTTCATGAAGCAAGTGGAGTATTACAAGTCAAATTTTGCCGAAGTTGGCTTGCTTTCAAGAGCCCAAGACATACCAGACCATGCGGACAAACTGGTCAAAAAGCTTGTGGAGAGTCAGCAGCGAGGGCAACACCCCATCATTCTGCGAGAACAAAGAATCCCTGAACTGCCAGTCGAAGGGACTTCCTTCGAGGAGCTGATGATTACGCTCTTGAACGACAACCGAAGCTCTGGTCTCTCTGCCGCACATGCGGAACCAGGGGTTGGCAAATCCATCGCCACGGCACTGGCGCTGCAGAAGTGCGAAAAGTCTGCCGTGAGCGTTTTGCTGCAGGGCGAGTTTACGTACAGCCTCGAAGAGTTCTTCCGGACTCCTGCGAAGTGGGCTGCACAGGTTGCTTTCAAACTGTTCCGTCGCCTGAGTCAACGTGGCATTCGCTTGCAGATGGTGCTTGACAACACCTTTGATCAAGGGCTCCATGGACAAAAAGGGTGGTCAGTAACCGTTCTGATGGAGCTCACCAGGTTTGCGCATGAGTTTGACCATCACCTCATCGTCATCACGCAATCCGAGGAAGCTGCCAACGAAGTCGATGATCTCAACGGAGAACGTACCCGCAAGGTAGAGCAGAGCGAGGCACCTTTTTACAGATGGTCAAAAGAGCAGGCACAGAAGTACTTGAAGACTATGACAACGTTGACCAAGGGTGTTGAGGAGGTTCTAAAAATGTCAGAAGTGCCTGACAAGTTCGGTGGCTGGAGGCCTGTCTCCATTAAGGAGTATTTGAGGACAGGTCGACGACCAAAAGCACCGAAAGCAGGACAGGGCTCACGATTGAAATTTCGCATGGCTCACATGGTCACATGGTTGTCTGTAAAGCCAATGAAGCTTCGCAACATGGAGTGGTTCTGTGCTGATGACACCATCCTGACACAAGGCTCCCTTCCTCGCATCCTAGATATGGCGGAGTTCTGTGTGTTGGAGTTATCTACTGACACCAGTTCGCCTTCTTAGAACCCTGCTAGGAAGTGCTGCGACGCAGATCAAGCCGGTTTGGGTCAGGCAGCTGGAGCAGGACTGACAATAGTTCCCCATCTTCTTTCAGCAAGGCCTTTGACACGTATGACTGGTATAGCAACAGCTGCAGCCGAGGATTCCTTGAAAGCAAACTGGACACAACTTGGCTGCGTTCACGTCTTCCTCCCAAGTCAAGAAACAGGTTGCGGGACAAATCAGTTGCGCAAGACAGCGCCCTGTCATGTTTTGTTCTTGGCACGGTTGAGGACTTTTGGGCAGAGATTGCAGGTTTTTTGTTGCTGTGGATTTGTTGAAAGATATCCTCCAAAAAACTTCCCACAGTTTTACAGATACGTTTTAGACGAACGAGCTTGTATGTTTCTCTGCCACGCCCTTGTTCCTTTGCCATGTCCATTTGACTGTTCCCACCTCGGCATCTCACCTTTGGAGAGATACTGCAAGTGTTGAACAAGCCGATTTGTCATCCCTGTATGTTCCTTTCATTTGTTCCTTTGTGCGGTTCTTGTGCAAAAACCGGTGTTAATTGGTCATGTTAACAATGGTAGGGTTGTGCTCCATGCTTTCTCCTACTCAAGCGTCAAAGGCTTTGTTGTTTTGCAAAAGTCACTGCAACAGTTTATGCCTTTAGTTCCTTTTTCGAAGTTCCTTAGACTAATGTTGGGTTGAAGTACACGTGGCTTGTTTAGCGGCAACTTCATTAAGATATTTCCCTCAGCCATGTTGCCATGTTTCCAAATGGTTGCATGATGTGTTGCCTTGCTTGTCACGCGCATTAAGTCTTGCTATGGCTTTTGAATCACAGCTAGACATTGGTTGAAAGGGTGGCGCTGGCATCAGAGTGTTCTTCGGTGCCTCTTGAAACTGCAGGACGATGAGAAGTTCGTACAGATTGGCAGCTCGTTCAAAGTCCAGGGAGAGCTGGCAGACGTAGTGACCTTAGCTTTGCTGTGCCCTTCTTGCTTTGTGTTGCCTTCGGAAGTGCTGCTTCACGCTTCGCGGGGATGTCAGGTGGATGATGTTAAAGAAGCCGTGCGCTCAGAAGCGTGTCGCAGCAGTTCTTTGTTTGTTTTGGTTTGAGACTGTTGTCATACTCCGATTACTTGAGGCAATTGCGCAAAAGAAGCCGAATACTGTGTCCTGCGACGCAGATGAAATCGACATTTACAGCCAGAAGGAGAGCTTTGCGTGTTCAAGGGCACCCGTTTCTTTCCCCACACCTCACCCCTTGCCGTGTCTCAGCTTGACTCTGCAGGAAGGGGGCTGGGTCAGAGAAGATGAAGAAGCAGCAGTCAACCGCGGCAAATCCAGGCCGAGCACTCGGATTCGATGCCTTTGAATTTTGGGTTGTGCCGTCGCCCAGCTGTCAGGGCAGACTGCTACGGATTCACGTTACCAGGAGCTGCTGGAGTCGCATAGTTTGAGGCACCTCAGCAGCGCAGCAGTCTTCTATACTTGTGCACTTGCATCGTTGCCAGGCTATATACTGCTGGCTGTTGCTGTTCTCCGCTGAGGCAATGCTGGGGCACAACGTTTCACCCCTCGTGCAGTGACAAAAGGGTGCAGTCGCAGGCACAGTTGTTTCGTTGCAGTGCGACTTTGCTTGACTGTTGAAGCGTCAGGGAGGTCAATGTTCACACTTTTGAACATCAGGCTGCGGTGTTCAAGTCAAGCAGGGAATGCCTGCAACGGGTACAGGACCAGCAACAGTTGCCGGCGCTGGTCAACAGCTGTTTCACCGATTCCGCCCTGTGCCAAAGTGCGCGAACGCAGTACCAACCAGTTTGAAGAGCGTGCTTGCCTTGCTTGTTGCTTAGTTAGTGCTGAACTGCAAGCATGTCGACTTAAAGCATTGTTGTTGGACACAAATCTGAAACATCACAATTATGCCTAACAGTCAACACCTAAAACAGCAACAAATGTTTGTATGAGGGCCAACTAGTCACCAAGCACAAGCGCAAACACCAGAAAGCTAACAAACATGTAATGGCCTGCAAGCCTTTTTTTGAGTAAGACTCCCACCCTGCCGCGCATGTGGGGCTTCCCTCGCCGGCTGGCAGTGCCTTCGGCAGGACCTTGCCAGTGGCGTGCCAGTTCTGGACCGCTGCGGATCCCAGGGTGTTGGGGGCGTTGTGCTTGGCCAAAAAAGTTTGCATCGTGTCGGATCCCAAGCCCGAAGTCTTGACGCACAGGTAGCAGCAGTAGAGCAGACGGTAGGCCAGCTGCGGCCACGTGTCGAGCTGCCAGGGCTCGTCCTCTTCGATCACCCAGCGAGGCCTCGGCCTGCAGCAGCGCAGCCAGCAGCTGTCCACTTACTTGCCGCAGCCTGCCCCAGATTCTGGGCAGCCATCGTGGTTTTCCACAAAAAAGGGTCAACATTCTCTTCTTTCCGGCTTTGTAATTTCTATCTGGGCATGGAAATTGTTGGAATTCGGAGATTTTTTGGGACAAGCTCCCACTACCTGCTGCAGCTCCACGGGCCCCCTAAGCGATATTATTATGTAAAAGATGTCGCACAATGAGCGCCGGCAACGAACTTTCCAGGCTGGGCGATGAACATGCAGAAGCCGCAGACCCACTTCGAGGGGAAGAACTCTCTCAGCCTCCCCTTGTCCTGCTGCAGCGCCGGGGCGCCCTCCTCGCCAACCCGCAGCCACTTCACGAAGTCGAAGATTCCGGGGTGAGCTCGTGCCCGTGCCCGCCGGCCATCGGAAGTCGCCCAGCAGGAGGAACTTCACGTCGGTGTTCAGCCCACGCAGGCCAGGTCCGCCCAGAGCGCCATGTCCAGTTGCGTGATCTCCTCCACGACCAGCCAGTCCAGCCGCTGCCCCCGCGCACGTACCTGCGCACCCAGTGGTCGGCCGTCTGCGCCCCCAGCCCCAGGTTCTGCGCCGAGCAGTGCGTCTTCGAGACCAGGTGCACCGCCTCGCTTTGCTCGCGCAGCCTCGCCACGATCTTCCGGGCCAGGTGCGTCTTCCCGGTGCCCGGCAGGGTCGTGAGCAGCAAGTGCTCCACGGGGTCGTCCGTCTCGTTCCACCTCCGACGCGCTGCCGGGCGCTCCGCCTCCATGCGGGGTGCCTTGCTGCTCCCCAGCAGCGGCTTCGTCTCTTCCACGCGGTAGACCGGCGTGCCGTCCGGGGACACGCGTTGTCACTCCTCCTGCACCCCTGAGCCTGAACTTCTGAGCAACGCCTACAGAAAAGGGAGCGGAGCGTCTTAGGGTCGGTCGGGCTCTCCCTTTTGGGCACAATTGAGCCGAACGCGGCCCGCAAGCAAATCGAAGACCACAACTGAAAATGAATGGGTTGGAAGGTTTTTTCCTCTCCATTGCAGTTGCTTTTCGCCAATGCTTTGTGTGGGCAGTGTGTGCTTCCACGGGGTTAACTCGGATTTTGTGCACGTAAGAATGGCAACTTTGTTTGGCAATTTGCGCAAATTTGCGGCCAACAGAAAGGAAAGAAGCTGCTCAGAGGCGGCCAGGACTTGCAGAGACAAGCCATGGCCAAGACACCACAAAACACCATCAGACAGGGCTCCTCTACATTAGAACCGTGGTCCGACCATTTAAAGCGGGCGCCAGCGAAACGGAAAATTGATTTGAGCAAGCACCCAAGGCAGGGCGCCAGACCAGGCACTCTGCCCAACAACAGTTTGCTGGGTCCCCACGTATGGGCGCCAATTAATAAAGCTCAATAAAAATGCAAAAGCCAACATAAGTCAGCAATGACCCAAGTGGATTATTTCGCACCTCCGCCATCATAGAGTTTCGAATCGAAAACTTGGAGCCGTATTTGCTTGGCGGCCATCGCCGCCAAAACTGGGCGCTCAAGACCGACTGTTGGAAATGTCGACAATAGTTTGGGCTACGCCCGATTTGCTGTTGATTGTCTTGTTCCAGTCTAATTTGTTTTCATTGCAAAACCCTCCAGTGCACGGTCGCCGGACTACAAATGCGCACGGCAAGTACAAAGTGAAGTGCGCAGAGGCATGCGCAGAAAGCAGACAATGAAACGCATGGAGGCAATGTGTAGAGTAGAGAGTGTCATGCATAGATGCATGGGGCAAGTACAAAGTGAAATGCGTAGATGCATGCGCAGGGCAAGACAGTAAAACGCATAGAGGCATGCGCAGGGACAGAGACACTGAAATGCATCGAGGCATGCGAAGAGAAAGTGGACATTGAACTGCACAGAGAGTGAGTGAGTGAGTGAGTGAGTGAGCGAGCGAGCGAGCGAGTGGGTGAGTGAGTGAGTGAGTGAGTGAGTGAGTGAGTGAGTGAGTGAGTGAGTGAGTGAGTGAGTGAGTGAGTGAGTGAGTGAGTGAGTGAGTGAGTGAGTGAGTGAGTGAGTGAGTGAGTGAGTGAGTGAGTGAGTGAGTGAGTGAGTGAGTGAGTGAGTGAGTGAGTGAGTGAGTGAGTGAGTGAGTGAGTGAGTGTGAGTGAGTGAGTGAGTGTGAGTGTGAGTGAGTGAGAGTGAGTGAGTGAGTGAGTGAGTGAGTGAGTGAGTGAGTGAGTGAGTGAGTGAGTGAGTGAGTGAGTGAGTGAGTGAGTGAGTGAGTGAGTGAGTGAGTGAGTGAGTGAGTGAGAGTGAGTGAGTGAGTGAGTGAGTGAGTGAGTGAGTGAGTGAGTGAGTGAGTGAGTGAGTGAGTGAGTGAGTGAGGAGTGAGTGAGTGAGTGAGTGAGTGAGTGAGTGAGTGAGTGAGTGAGTGAGTGAGTGAGTGAGTGAGTGAGTGAGTGAGTGAGTGAGAGTGAGTGAGTGAGTGAGTGAGTGAGTGAGTGAGTGAGAGTGAGTGAGTGAGTGAGTGAGTGAGTGAGTGAGTGAGTGAGTGAGTGAGTGAGTGAGTGAGTGAGTGAGTGAGTGAGTGAGTGAGTGAGTGAGTGAGTGAGTGAGTGAGTGAGTGAGTGAGTGAGTGAGTGAGTGAGTGAGTGAGTGAGTGAGTGAGTGAGTGAGTGAGTGAGTGAGTGAGTGAGTGAGTGAGTGGTGAGTGAGTGTGAGTGAGTGAGTGAGTGAGTGAGTGAGTGAGTGAGTGAGTGAGTGAGTGAGTGAGTGAGTGAGTGAGTGAGTGAGTGAGTGAGTGAGTGAGTGAGTGAGTGAGTGAGTGAGTGAGTGAGTGAGTGAGTGAGTGAGTGAGTGAGTGAGTGAGTGAGGAGAGTGAGTGAGTGAGTCTGTGAGTCAGGGCGTGAGTTGAGTCGAATTGGTTGAGTTGAGTGTATTTTGAGATTGAGAGTGCGAGCTCTGAGTAAGTGAGTGTGTGTGTGTGTGAGTCTGATGGGTGCGAGTGTGAGTGTGAGTAAGTGAGAGTCTGAGTGGAGTTAGTGTGAAAATCCCAATGCAACAAAGTGCCACACAGGAGTGTGGAGACTCGTTCGGCGAAAAGGAAGTGCAGGGTTAAAGGGGTAAAGGTGAAGTCATGCGGGGGTGGCTCCACTTTTTGAGGCTGCCCCATGTTTGGCGATTTTGGAAGGGAAACCAAAAGGAGAAGCCACCCGTTGTGAGGGTCCCCTAAAACACACCCAAACGCAACTACCTCGAATACCTGGCGCCGTTGATGGTAGATGACTTTCCGCGTGTTTGGCTAGCGTGCCGTGTCATGAGGCATTGCCATTGCTGACGGTTCTTCAATCCAGATGAGTTCAACACGTAGCTTGAACACAGCAGCGCACATGCAAAAGCCTTGACTCAATTGAGCGAGCCCCCCGCCCAACAGGGGCCGGGGTTTATCAGCGGCAGTGATCAGCATCGCTTGTGCAAGCCTTGGATGTTTTCCATGCCTGCATGTCTGGAGGTCGAATGCCACTGATTTGACATGCAGCTGTGTCCTTGGCGAGCTTTTCAGCAACTTCCTTCGCATCCGTCTTGGGATGCGCCTCTTGAGAACGGAGCTCTCTTACGGGGAGGGGAGGAGGGGGGGTTGCGACAAGGGGTGCCTCATGAGCAGCCTGAGGCGCCCAACATGATCAGCCGAATGAAAGAAGGCCTTGGAACCCTCAGGCGGGCGTTGCTTTCGTTGGTTGCCATTGGACCGGCCGAAAACTCGACGAAAGATTCTGGTAAAAGAAACCGACACCAAATCCATCCTCTCAGGTGTTTTCCTTTCCTTCCTGGAACAGGTCCAGTTTTCCTTTGAAGCAAAATCTAGGGGTCAAGCGGCGGGTTTTTGCGGCTGTCAGGAAGAAGGACTCTCCACTGGAAGCTCAGCTCAAGGAGGCCGGAGGTTTTCTGGTTTTTGTCCTTTCAGCGGGCCCATCTTTTGGACTGGTTGAAAGAGGCACCCATTTGCGAGCTGCCCTAAGAGACACACCCTGTTCGTTGGCCGTGGAAGAACTTCCTCGCCTATGTATGCAGGAAAAATAATGCGTCACTGGGTTGTTCAGGGAGGTTCGCATCTCTGATTTCAGAGTGAGACTTGCGCGATGTGCCATTTCGTAGCTGGACAGGAAGACGGATGCAAACCAGCGATGCGGTAGGATATGTCAAAGCAGCTAGTCCAAGTCGGCACGGTTTTGGATCGCACAACCTGCTGGACCGCGTTCGCACCTGGCAAAGACCCTACATGGGCCCAAGTTTCCAGCAGCCGCCTGCCATGATTTGCATTTGGAATGCCATGCCGAGCTTCATCGCAGTCAAATGCTCAAAGCAAGTTTCTAGCCGAGTGTCTCCATGTGCTTGACTGCCAGAGGGCTCTAGTTACGGATAGCACATCCAAACCCAGAGCATGGCGGTGAGGGATGCTTTGAGACTTCGCCTTACCTTCAGCAAGTCGCTCTAGTGAGAGGTGTTAAGTGATGGTTGATGACTATTCCTGGGTCACTTTTCCCATTTAGTGGGGCATATCATTTTTTAGTGGTTTAGCTGCTGGTCATTCCATGCAAAGGACCGTTTGATCATCCCCAAAGTATTTACTTGTCAGCCGATCATCAAGAAGGGACGTGCCTTGCTGCGCAATGCCGCTGGCTGCTGCCACAGCGTTGCCCGCAGGGGCGCCCGGCGGGGTAGGTCGACCAATTCCGTAGCATCAAGGAGGCCAAACATGGGCCACGTGCTAGAGGCATATTTTTTTGGCCAAGCAAGTTTTGCACTCTTCCTGAATGAGACGGTGGCCTTTGAGGTGGTGAATGCAGATGCATATCACTTTCCCAACATCATCTTGCAGGCGGGGAAGTCATCAGATCTGGCTGGGAAGTGAAGCTGTTGATTCTTTTTAGGTCTTTTAGGCAACTGAGGTGCAAGCCTGCAAGCAATCCTCAGCTCGCCCTGAACTTGGCCGGCAGGATGTGGATGGAGTCCTTACTCGAAGCACAGAGGCTCGGACCCGCGGTGGAATTGCAAGCTTTTCTTCATCCAAGGCATGACTAGCCCAAACCTCCAGTGCTTCAACTTTCCGTTTGGTTCATGTTTTCGGTTGGGGGCTTTTTCCTTTAAACACAATTTAACCCCCCCCCCCCCCGGAAGGGCGGGCCAGCACCGAGGTGGACTTGGATCCCAAGCTGGTTGGGCGGCTGAGTCAGGTGGCAGGGAGCTGAGAACTTTCCAGCGCACCAGGGGTTTTCGGGCAGAAGGAGCTCATGGCCCCGTTACTTGGGCATCCCTAAGTTTCAGTTTGGTTTGGAATTATTCTGGCGAGTTTGCAGCTCATCGATGTCTGAGCCTGAGCTGCTCAGTTTTTTGTTTTGTTTTGTTTTTTCTTCTGGCATTCTCCCTGCAAAGTAAGATTCATTGTCCAGTTGGTGCCGCGAGGGGCTTGCCCGGGAAAGATCTAACTGCGTGACTGCAACAGTAGAACGACCTTAATCCTGACTGCGTTGCTGTTTCCTTCTGGCGCCAATTTGATTCCCTGCAGGTCGCATGCTGGCTCTTTTCTTCCAGTCAGACCTTCTTACTCTTTGCGGCACAAAAACAGAGGGGTTTTAAATCCCAAGCAGGGGCACTCTGTTCACTGTTGCCCCCCTTATATATGTATATACTTATTATTGTATTTTTTGGGTTGCTGTTCAAGAGGTGGCCCATTTTTGTTCGATCCCACAGACCAAATTTCTTCCCCGGGGCCAGGTCCGAGGTGCGGATGTGGGGCTGGTGCTGAGCTCGGGCCGGCGCAAGGCGATGCCGGCGCTGAACCACCTGCTGCGAGGCGGGGCCATTGGGCTATTGGGCCGTTTAACAGCTGGAGTCTCAAGCTCCAAGGGGCTGATAGTTGGGGGGGGTACCACCTGATTCAACAGTGGGTGCTATTGGGTTGGATCTTTAGAAGAGTTCCAAGAGGCTGATATTGGGTTAAATCTTCAGACTTTTAGCTTTCTGGTGGAAATCAAGGGGTTTTCCACGAACCCCCCCCCAAAAAAAAGTGAAACTTTTTGCAGGGGGGTCAACAGCAACCAAGAGTTGGGGGGGGGGGGGGGGGATACAACATAATATAGAAAAGGAAAACAGTGCTTCCAGTGGATGCGGGTAGATGGGAAACCAACCAAACCAACAACCAGGAAAAGTCATGGAATGAAAGCTAGAGGCAAACATACCTGGTTAGCCACTATAGTGGAAACTGGATTTCCCCCCCCCCCCCCCCCCCTTTTTTTTTTTTCTTCTCAGGGTGCCCTGTTGGGGTTGGTACAAAGGGAAAACAAAGGGACACCACCCAGTTTAAGGGTTCTCCCATTCAGAGACAAACCAGTATTGACCACTGTCGTAGGTACCTAGGACCTAGGGCTTTGGCCAACGTCTAAGACCTCGAGGTCAACATTCCGAAGGGTTACCTAAGTGGCTTGCCTGGAAGCACTCGGGCTGTTGACTAGTAGGGTTGGTTTTGCAACCCAACCTGGCACCTGGCATGCATCCTTCAAAGGGAGGCTGATCATTTGCAACCTTGTAGGTAGGGTTCTTGGGTTTTTTATTTTTTTGTGTGTGTTTCTTCGTGTTTTTGCTGTTTTTGTGGTGTTGGCCGCAATATGGCGTTTGGACAACATGTGCCATCGTCAAATCACGTTGTGGATGGACGATGTCCACTTCGCACCAACTGGGACGGGTGAAGCCCTATAAAACGCAGGATAAACCAACTTTTTCGCAAGGGAGAGTAGACAATCACTTCAAGTTGGGGACACTGACTGGGGTTGGTTCTTCTTTATCTTGGGAAATATTGGGAGCTGTGTTGGCATCGGGGGTTTCTCGCGGTGTCGGTATTTTCAAGATGCCTGGGTGTCATGTGCCCGGGGTCTGAGCCTAAAAGAGTTAGCTTTTAAGCCAAGTGCGTTGGAGGACTCAAGCCTGGCGATTGATTTCTTTGCCACTTTGAGAACCTTGCGCGGAACTCGAGGAAGGGAAGCTGGCAACTCCAAACAGGATCCGTCCACCATCTGCTTTAGTTGCTGTTGGAATCCAACAATGTCCGACCTCAGGGCTGTAAGTGGGAATCATGGGCTCCAATTTTCCCTCCAGCGAAGGAGCCAAGCCGAGCGAAGCGGCGGTTTTTGACCTCGGGCAAGGAAGACGTAATGTTGTCCCCTCATGAATAACCCCCCCTGAAATTAATTCATCTGGGGTCCCGGTTTCTCCAAGAAAAGAATTCCCAGCACAAAGACCATTGATAGCAAGTGGCTCACAATCAAAACCGATTCGGGTAGATGAAGGTGAGGGACAATATCCTTGCCAGAAATGGTTTTTTTCCACTTTCTTAGTTCTTAAGCCATGTTTTTTTCTCCGGGTTTTGATGACTCAAGTCGAGGCTAAATCCGGGGTGGACGTTTTTTTTTCTTTGGAGCGGATGGGCCCGACAAGGCCTGGGCTCCGGCCGAATACCTCCTGGTCGGATCCTGGGCGCTGCTTGGCGCAACGGGTGGCCGGAAATTGCCGGGGGTTGCCCTGCTTTGGCACCAACGGGGAGAAGGAGGTGGCTCAAACCTCGAAGGGTTCGCAACACCTGTTCATAGGTTTTTCAGGTGCGTTTGAAGCCCGGCATGCGAGTATTCTGGCCACGGGTTTGGGCGGATTCTTCACCAAGCCGCCTCCTCACCAGCAATTGCCGACACAGGAAGCAGGCAAACATCAAATCGTGTCTGCTTTTGGGTGTTTGTTTTTTCCTGAAATGGACGCCAAAGGAGAAAATCATGTTGCAGGTTCCAGAATTGGAGATCATTTCGTTGCACTCTGGAATGGGTGAACAGCAGGAGAATGACGTGACTCATTGACACCTGCTGTCTGGTGCTCGCTCAAGAGCGGGGACCCTGATGGGGAGCCCTGAAGCAAGGGGGCAACACCCAAAGAAGCTCCGGAGTGGTTCGGGCAACAGCTGGACAATTTCTGGAGGGTCGAGTGGGGAGATCACCTGGGCGTCTTTGGGACCTGACAAAAGTCGCCGACTTAAACTGAGAACCGGTGAGGTGATATCCCCAAAAGAGAAAACACCAACCCAACCAAAAACAGAAAAATGCGGTTTAGCCCAAAAACCATCCGGTGAAGAAAGCGCCGGTGAGGTGACGCCGAGCCTCTGCAGAGACACTGCCTGCCGGGCCGAGGAGATCAAAAGCCCCTTGGCATGAGGTGTCGGTTCTTTGCCCAAAGCCGAGTCGACCTTTTCGCTTTGTTTTCCTTCTTTTTTTCTGAAAGGCCCCAAGGATTAACCTGTTTTTTTCTGGGTCCTTGAGCAAGTGAGGGTTACTTCAGATTTTCCGGACAGCTGGCCAAGGTGGGAGGTATGTATCTTTCTTGAGTGTCCTTGTTGTGACGCGAGCGGGTGTTGGATTTCAACAAACGCCCCAGGTTTGTAACACGAGGTTTCCAAAGCGGTGGGAATCCACTAGAAAAGGTCTTGGGCCGTGTTTTGCAGGGCCCCTTTAACGTTAGGGGTCCACCATTTTGAGAAATACATGGACGGCGCTGCGTTCTTGACGAGAACCCGTCGGATTCACGGAGTGGCTCCAAAAGTGGAGGATGTCATATGAATTTGGCCCCCAATGAATATCGATAGGTTGATGGATTTTGGGTCATTGCAAAACATCTCTCTGGGTCGAAGCCCTGCCCAAAATTTTCCAAAAGTTTCGAGCCTCCAAAAGTGGGTTCAATGAACACCGCCAGTACATTGATCAACTTTTGAAGGGGAAATCGAGTGACAGGAGCGGTGCTCAGCAGAGAATGAGGGAAGGACCCTTATACACCATCCCTTGTGGTTTCCTTTAAGGGGAGCCCTGGGTTCAATTTCACATTCTGGCAACGAAAAGTTG